TCAGGCTGCCAAACCGGCCGCATGCAGCCGCCCGGCTCCTTATTTTCCATTGAAAGACCCCAGTTTCCGCAGCAAGATGTGCCAGTTTGAAGCCCTGCCTGCGGCGCACTCGGTAAAGTGCGAACACGCTTTGCCTGCTCTCCGCCGGCGAATGGCTCACGGTGTGGGTTGATGCCTGCCGCCAGCAGCCTGGTCCCAGCAGGGAGGAGCTGCTCGCTGGAGCCCCGCTGCTGGGGCCGGGTGGGAGGAAGGTGCAGCTGGCTGATCTTCTCCACTGCTCCAGTCCTGGCAGGGTATTCAAGAGCAGAGCAGGGACAGAAGCAGAAGTAGATGAGATATCATCAGCTGCTCTAACTACTGAATCAGTAAAATCTTCTATCTACTGGTAAGGATGGGATGAAGAACTAATATTACACTTGGGTTACCTTTTCCTACTTCCCCTGAAACTGCTCCAGTCATAGGAGTTTTGTGTGCTTCTGATAATTGGTGCACCAAAGCTTAGTTGAATCACAAATGTATTGAAAAGTTAGCTGTGCTGAGCTGCTCCTGCTGTCAGTTACAGGTGAGTGGTGGAGTGGAGAGAAGATGAGCTATCTGTTGACTTTTAAATCTAACCTTCACTGCTTCCACGTAGGATGGTGAGGATTGTCCTGTGCTATACAGCTAGGACAGCCATTGCTTACCCTGCATGAGTGTCATCCCGAATGGAGAGCCATTTGAGCAGAATGGATACAGGGGAGGTCACATTTAGATACTAATACAGTTTGTTAGGAGTTTTTCACCCCAGTGGAGGCTGGTGTCCCAGTCACACAAGGTGCCCTGATGGCTGTAGGTCAACTTCCCTTCACAGACCTCTCGCATGTGTGACTTGAATGTCCTTGTGGACTTGAACAATTTATTTTTAAGTTGAGGAGAAAAAAGGGGCTTTTGCAAGCACGTTGTGACAAGCTCTTCTTTTGGGGAAAGCCTGTGGTGTCTCCTCTGAACAGCAGGCTGTTAACATTAATCCTGCTTCAGCCAGCGGTACCAGGCACGGCGGAGGAGACTTTACCCCTTTGAGCTCTCAGCTGCTTTTCCTTCAATGGTTTTTTATTGCACCATTGTTTCAGTTTACTCTGGGCTCCTCTCTGTGTTGACAGGCATGTAATGGCTACAGCAGAAATATGTGGCTGACTGGGAGGAAGCAACCTGGGGATAGTGTTTCCGGGCTGTACTGCCTGTGGGCAAATTAAAACCTTTTTTTTTTTTTTTCCCAAGCCTTAGTTCAGATGCTGTGCCCTAAAGGACAAAATGTGCTGATGGCAGTTACAGAATAGCCAGGTGCCAAACGTAGTTGAGTTGCAGCTTAATGTGCACTGCTCGTCTCTCGGTGAGCTACCTTTCAGCACACCCAGCACGCTGTAAAATCAAGCTCGCTTTCACAGCTATGTCAACAGACCTCTAACATGCGGGTGACAGGTCTTCCTCTCCAGTTACCTTCTTGGCTACTAAAGGACTTTCTTCCTATGCAGGCTTTCCTCTAATAGGAGCTGACTTCTGTGAAGTCCTTGGTTCGTGATCACTGTAATCTGTAGCTGGCTAGAAATATCTGCGTGAGAGGACAGGTTAAACTTTTCACCCTCTGTATATCTGGTGATTAGAGTCTTCAGCCTTTGCGCTCAGGTTCAAGTGGTAAAGAGAAGCAGAAGATTGCCTGAGTAGCTCTGCATGAAACAGGAGACTAAGAACTGGCATTAATTTCCTCTCACTTGTTTGCATTGGCTCCATCTTTGGCAACATGCACCGGGTTAGTAGTTCTTGCTTTGACTTGGCCAATGCAGTGTCTGTTCCCATGGAAATGGGGGTGGAAGTGGCAAGTATCAGCAGAGAACTTCTCTGGATCAGCTTCTCCTGCCTGAAATGCCAGTGCGCAGATGGTGTCCACAGTCTTCCCTCCTGCCCCTGCTTCGCTGGGGAATTGTTTGATTCTTGAGGTATGCATCAATTTGCATTTGTACAGTAACCCCGACACAATGAAATGTCAAGTTGGGTTAAGGTCTTTTGAGGGCTGCTCTAGAGGTGGTGAAATAAGGACTGAGAAGAGGGAAATTTTATGATTTCTGTTATTTTCTCAGTTCCTGTCCCATTTGCAAATGCTGTTTGGGCCCTTCTCAGGGGGCTGTTCGTGTGCCTGCAGCCAGCGCCCATTTCAGCTGGGTGGCTGTGAGAACAGCAGCTGATGGAGCTGCTGGTGCTCTTGAAACCCTGGTGTATCTTTCTTGCTTCCTTCTTCCTGCCTTCAAGCTGGCAGGTATTGCATGGCTGTGGTGAGAAGAAAGGGTTTTGTAAGATATCTATTGCTTTTCACCCTCTGTCATTCCCCAGGTTCTCACTTGAGGAAGGAGAGTCTCTAAAACCTGATGCCCTCAACTGCTAGCTTCACATCTGTTGAATGAACAAGTTGAGTCAGTCCTACTCTGACTGTTTTGTTTTTGTACTTGGAGTTTGTACTTTGAAAATGATGTAAAAATATTCTGGGTGTTTTTCTTCTTTGAAGCAGGAGTCAATGGCCAAGTCCTTTGGCTCTGTGCCCTGTTTGTGAAACAGACTCTTCTTCTGAAACGGTGTGAGTGAAGTTACTGTGTCTTAGACTGCAGCACGTCCAGACCTGTTTTTCTATAGAACCTGGGTTCTGGGGCTTTGGCTACCTCTGCTTCTGCTCCAGTAGTGGTGCCTCCTGCTCAGAGCGAGGCGGGGAGACGGCTCTGACAAGGGCACCAAGCAGTAATGCCACTTAGGGGGTGAAGCACTTCAAGAGTATATAAAGTGTCTCTTCCATGTGCCTCAGAAATTAACCATTCCTCTCACTGTTTTGTGCTTGAAACCTAGCTTCTGACTACGGTATGAAGCTGCCAATCTTGCGGTCCAACGCAGAAGATCAGATTCTGTATCAGACCGAGCGTTACAATGAGGAAACCTTTGGCTATGAAGTTCCCATCAAAGAGGAGGGTGACTATGTGCTGGTGTTGAAGTTTGCAGAGGTCTATTTTGCACAGTCTCAACAGAAGGTAAGCAACAGCTCCTTGCTTGTCTCTTTGATGTGAGTTCCTGGCTAAGACTGTGCATGTCCAGGTTGCCTCTGCTGCTTTGTGTGCTGGAGAAAGGAGTGAAGTAAAGCACGAATGGTTAGCTTAGTTCCTAGAGTTCTCATGGGCCCTGAAACTTTGAGCGCTTTTCCACATGCCAGATGCACAGCTGGCCTGGAAAATTGCATTACAAAGTATTCAACCAAACATGTGCAACTAAACATAACTAGCACTAGAGTTTTATCATCTATTTAGGCTGTGCTGGCTTGGAGAAGTGTTTTTGCTTTTTTCCTGAACACTTGTTGCTGACCTGACAGCATGCTTGTGCTGGAGGAAGTATTGCACAGATTGAATCAGGGAAGCGACCTGAGTTAAATAACCTACTCAAAATGATTTTTACGAACGTAATAAGACTTGATACTGTTCAAACTGTTCCCGAAAGCACAGAGTTAAATTCAACCGTTTTTATTGCTCTTTAGAGAAGAATAATCCTTGTCCACTTTTGAAATGCCTCATGTACAGGTGTGGAAGCAGAAGCACAAAGAACTCAATGCCCTGTGATAAACTGGGAGAGAAGTGGGGTGTCTTTTAGTCTGGCTTTCCCCCGGGTCCATCAGCTTCTTTAGAGCCCTGCTTCTTAAGCACTGTGCTGCCTTCCTGCCAGAGGAGTATTTCAGGGAACAGAACTGGTGGGGCTGGCTTACAGAGTGGATGCAAAAGGCAGCCTCAGATTAAACTGAAGGGCTGAGGCACCTCTGGTTCCTCTTCCTTCATGTGGTTCTGCTGGGATTCCCCAGGTGCTGAGTGACGTTTGAGTCATTACAGCCCTGAGGAGAACTTTCACTCTGAATTCACAGATGTGGTTAGCAGTTCAACATTTTACCTCCTTCAAGCCCTGCGTCCTTCACCAGCTTGTTTCCTCTCCCTGCTCTGCTGCAGGCTGTTAGTTAGAAATGGCTGAACTCCCTAGGGTGTGGTGTGCTGCAGCCACCCTGGGGTAGTAGGGGCAGGTCTTCAGCCAGTAGGTGGAAAAAAAGTTTTGAAAGAAAAGTTTTAATAAACCAGAATAAAATTGTGCTGTCCTGAGTTCTGAACAGCAGACGTAAGGTTTATTTTAAAAGGAGGAGGCAGATTTCAGAGTATTTGAAAGCAATGTTTATGCTTCAGTATCTTTACCTGGCTGCTTTTGGGCCCTGAATCTCTCCCAAGGGAAATGGAGCACATGTGGTGGGATGGTGCGTGCTGCAATGCTTTCTGGTCCTGAGTGCATAGCAAGCAGAGACCTTTCCTGTTCTGTTCCCATTTCAATCGTCACGTCCCTGAATCTGTTCTGACATTCTGTCATTTCTTACACCCTAAAGGTATTTGATGTTCGCTTGAATGGCCACGTGGTGGTGAAGGACTTGGACATTTTTGACAGAGTTGGACACAGCACAGCTCACGATGAGATCATTCCCATGAGTATCAAAAAGGGGAAACTGAGTGTCCAAGGAGAGGTTTCCACATTCACAGGGAAGCTACACATTGAGTTTGTAAAGGTAACAAGTTTTTCTGGACAGAACCCTGATCTTCCTTTTCCCCTTCTTCCTCAGCCATGTGATGCAGCTGTGTGCTGGAGGAGGAGAGGTGATGGTAGATGGGGAGACTATTTCTTGCCTCAAAGCTGCAGCACTGACTTCCTTCTTTGCTTTCTCTAGGGCTACTATGACAATCCGAAAATCTGTGCCCTATACATCCTGCAAGGAACAGTGGAAGGTAAGCACAATTTTTTGAGCCAGAAGGCTCTTCCCCCTTGGAGAGCAGCCTGTTGCTTCTCAGACCATGAGATCATAGCTCTTTCTAACCCACCTCTGCCAAAACTGTTTCTCTCTCAGCAAGTTCCCAGAGTGCAGTTGCAGGGTGAAATAGGTGTGTAGTGGCCTCCTACTCCTCCAAGTGCACAAAGCTGTGTCATTTTTGGAGTAAGAAAAATCAGTTTGATTTGGGACTTCCTGCATATGGGGTAGAGGAGAAGGGAATATGTCTGGTCAGTCGTGGCTTATAGCTACAGATAAACTCCCTCTGGCCTTGGATGTCAGCAGCCACCCTGCAGACAAGTAATTTACGGAGATCTTGTAGCTAGTAGTTAAGTGTTTCTTACCTGAAGCTTTGTTTTCTCTTCGCAGTTTGAGGATAAGGGAGTGTTTTTTCCCAGATATCAGTTCCTCTGGATAGCAGTGGGGAGTGCTAGTAAAGTCCTTACTCTTTTATCACTCTTTGTAGGTCTGTGCTGGAGTTGGAGCTCCTCTAGCTCCTGAACACGGGAGGTTTAGGACCCCTCTCTGACCAAAGCATCAGTTTGCTTTACTATAGGTCAGGGATTGCCAAGTGCTGCTCAAGATTTGGAGCCAGGTGGCACCTCGCTGTGTGGGGAACCTGCAGTTCAGGCTCCAGGCTCAGAGGACTGGATTTGAGTGGGGTTGGGCCATGCTGCTCCGATAGGTCTGAGGTTGGGGGGTGCAGTGATGTGAGGTAGGACCATTTGTAGAAAGGGTTGCTCCCCTTCCTGTTTGCACCTGTATCTGCTGGTCCTGCAGGCAGCAGGTGTTTGTTCTTGACTAGATCTCACTGAGCAGCCGTGGTATCTGACTGTGTATGCTGTAAGTGTGTTTTTGTGCTGTAACTTCTCCTGAGTGACATGTAGATGGGGTGGAGGGTTGTAATTTTCTTTGCAGACTGGATCTCTAGATGCTCTTGCATCATGGAGGAAAAAAATAGTGGTGTAAGCCTCTGTGGGGGAGGATGCTTCTGTTTCCTGGGGTGCTCTGGCCGTGATATTGATGTGATGTCAGGTGCCCCCTTGCCTGTGTTCATGCTGGACCGGGGAGAGGGGAAGGGAGTGACTCGGGTGATTTCCCAGGTTGCATCCTGCCTCCTTGCAACTTTTTGTCTCGTCCAACAGATGTTCCAAAGCTGCAGCCGCACCCAGGTCTGGAGAAAAAAGAGGAAGATGATGATGAAGATGAATATGATGATGGCTCCAGTGTTAAAAAACAGGCAAATAAGAACCGGGTTCAGTCAGGCCCACGCACACCAAACCCCTATGCCTCAGACAACAGCAGCCTCATGTTTCCTATATTGGTGGCCTTTGGTGTCTTCATTCCTACCCTCTTCTGCCTCTCTTCTGCCTCTGCCGATTGTGAGAGCAAGCCTCACAGAGCATCAGCCAAGGGGCTGGGAGGGAAGGAGTTGGACCAAACACGGTTGCTTTCAATTTCTCCATATTGTTCATAATTTAAGGGAAAAGAAAAAAAAAAAAAGATTAATTTGGAATGAATAGCAGGTCCAGGTAAGAGGGAGCTTACCTTCCCCCTGCCAGCACGCAGCGAGGCCCTCGCCTTCCACTTCACACCATGTGCAGCCTCCGATCCTCCCTGGGGCATCCAAGAGTAAACTGAGTCCTGGCTGTCTGTGTATTGGGCTGTTGAAAGCTGATGCTACCAGTCCTGGGCCATGTCCCACACTGAGAGAAAGCCATGTGCTGCAAGATCTCTGCCTTTGCTGGGTGGAATATGGTTCTTTAAGCAGGGAAGAAGCTCTTAAAACCAGGCCTGGGTATGTGTTTGTCCGGGACCGTGGAAGTGGTGTTGGTGCCGTTGGGTGACTAACAACTATGGAGGACGGACTCTGGCTCAGCATCTCCCTGAATGTGTGCAACACAACGTATGGTACTCGCCTGCATAAAGATACCAAAACTCCAGCTAGCTGCTCAGCCTCCGTGGAGTTGTTCCCCTCCTAAGACTGCAAGCTGTGCCAGGAGCAGAGGGATTTATCTGGCCTGATTTGCTGCACCAGTTGGGAGAGACTTTCCTAGTTTGGCAATTGTAATGTTAGATCCATCGCAGAGGGATTCTGCTGTAGCCTGTGAGAGGCTGACGTCGTTAGCGTCTGATCAGATGCACTTGTTTTCTGTATTGATTATGGCTTTTGTTTCCTTTAATATCCTTCTGTTTTCAAAGGTTTCATTTTAAGTCCAGTTCCTTGTTTTGCCCTTTCTGGCAAGTGGCCTCTCCTTTGGAAGAAGCTGAGAATTGGATGACCTAGAGAGGAGGTTCTGGACTTGTTCTTTGACCGTCCTCATGGTTAGCTCCCTGCCCTGTGACTGTGAACAACCTGTGCTCTAGGACAGAGCGGAGCAGCCTTGCGGATGCTCCTTGTGAGCTCTCATTCCCTGTCGTAGGGACCAGGCCTACCTGCAGTGGTGAGAAGTGCAGTGGAGTTGGTTAGTGTCCTCAGTTAGCTCAGCCTTTTGTGTATCAAGGCACTGTAGTGAAGGAACAGATGTCCAGCATTTCAGTACTGTAGAGGAAGGTGGTTTGTTGCCCCCCTCCCCCCCCGCCCCCCGAGATCTGGAAGTGAGCAGAACATGAGACAAGGTCGCTCACTTCCCCCCGGGATATTTCTGCAAGACGCTTCTGTTTCCACATGCAGAGCCTGTGCCTGCCTGATGGAGGCTGAGCAGAGCGAAACCCTTGCTGTGCCTGCTGATCCAGAGCTGCAGGTCCCAAGGAGCTGCCTTCCCACCGTTTTGGCCTCTGACACGTTGAGCACTTCTGGCTGGCGGGAGGGAGACATTTTGTGTGCTGGAGCAGGATCTGTCCCAGGCAAGGTTGGGTCTTTCTGGGTCAGCTTTGATGCTGGTGAGCTCTGGGCTCACAGAACACTTTACCTCATGCTGTATCTGTTGCTCTCAGAAGAGTTCTCTTTACCCACAGCAGTGACAATGAGCGGTGTCCTCCTTGCTGCTGCTCCTCCCTGGCCCTGAGTTTTCCTAGCGTTTGTTCTTGGGTTTGATCCCCTGCAGTGGCTCAGCCTTTCTTTGAGCTGAGAAGGGTCAGCAGAATTCCCTAGTTTCTGGAAAGGAAGCTGGAGGAGCAGCCTTTCTGCTCTGCTGGGCCCAAGCAGCTGAAGCCTTTGCTTCCTCCTAACCCTCAAGCTGTGGTATGAGCTGTCAGCTCTCCGGCTCCAGAACGGGAGCTGGGGGAGGTGTCGAAGTGCTGCTCTCTGCAGCAGTGGCGCTGAACCTCGCCTTTCTGGTCGCATACATCGCTGCTGTAGGCCTGACCCTAATTCTGTGTCTGAGCTAAAAAGCAAGCAGTAGGACCTTAATTACCTTCTCTCCAATTGCACAAGTGGTAACAGCCAGTTTGGGAGAATCAAGAGGGTCCCTGCCACAGTTGCAGGAGAAGACAGGCTTTAGAGAGAGAGCAGATCTTAAGAACAAACCTTAGGATGAAAAGGCAGTAAGTTTGAAGTTGTCTGCTTCATCTTCTAGCTGCTGTTAAAATCCTAGTACTTACAAGGCTCTTATTAAATATGAGCTGCGTTTTGTTTGGTGACAGTGCCTGCAGAGATTCTCCATCGTTTTTGGGATTACTCTAACTGGAGCACACAGACATTTAGATCTTTATCAGTTTTGAGAAGCATGAACTGTACTGATTTGTTAAGCAAAGAACCTGGGCTTGAAAGCCAGCTCTTCTCCTCTGGGCCTTTTAGGTTGCATTTTATTTGAGCATCCTTGAAGCAAGGATTCACTCGGCTTCTTGTGGCTCACCCAGTAATCTCTGCACCTTGCCTAGCGTGAGAAAAGGGGCGTGCATAAGTTGGAGACAAGTCTTCTAGGACAGTTTATCCCTGCCTCTCCTGGCAGCCGGGGCACCCATTTGGTGCCATCAGCTGCCCTAAGGCAAAGCTGTGCAGAGTGTGATCTGTTGTGTGCCAGTTGCTCAGTTCAAATGAATTTGTCTTATTTGAATAAGAGTAGGGAGGAGGAGTAGTTCATCCTTGACCACTTCAGTTTAGATTTTTTGGCTCTGTTTTTATGCATCTTTGTTACTACAAAGCTGGTGTCAGGATGATTAGGGGGTTCCTGACCCTGTTATGGTGCTATGAGTAGTTTTCCTTGTTGGCCCATCCCCTCCCAACAGGTTTGCCTCAGAAGGAGCCTTCAAACAAAGCATGTGGAAAACATGGGAGGATGGTAGGGGATAACCAGTCAGCACCTCGCTGGGAATGGCGTGCTCAGGCTGGCTTCCCTTGCCATGCCCTGTTTAGCATCTGCAAGCCAGACAGATGGGTATAATGAGGTACCTGGTCCTGACCAGGGAAAGAAAAAGTCTGGGTTGGCTGTAGCTTTCCAGTGCAGGTGTTAGAGGGGATATCCAAGGCATTGTTTAACTGCGACTGGTTGGAGACAAGCCTGTTTGCACTTTGTTGCTTTCTGCTAGCAGCAGGCAGATGAAGCGCGTGTCCCTGTGCAGCAGTGTGGGGAGCTGGGTCAGGACAGACCCGGGCTTGATTTGTGGAGCAGTTGTGTAAAGAAGGGCAGATTAGGCAATTTTCATAAAGCTTCTGCTTAAGAAAGGGAAGATGACACTGTCAATCGTGTTTTGGGCCTGGATCCAGCCTCAGCATAGTGGTTCCAAAGCCTATTTTAATTATCCTCTCATCAGCCCCTCCTTTTGTACCTTTAAGCCAGACCATTTTCCTCTTCTGTGTGTGTGACTAAAACAACAGCTCTGACCCTTTTGAGTATCCCAGGTGGCAGTGAGCAGAAGGCCAAACGAACTCCCTTTTTGGTGCCTTTGTGTCAGGCTTTGAATAAAAGTCTATTTGAAGAAGCTTCTTTTTTTTTTTTTTTAAGAAGCTTCTGAGTTGTTTTTTCTTTTTCCTCAAGGGACAGGCATTCCCTGCCCTTGTGATCAGCTGGGGACTGTCTCGCTGTCCCTGGATGCCAGCTCCGGAGGTCACAGCTGAAGCACAGAACTGTGAATGGGTATCTTTGATTCCAGCCCTTGAGGTCAGTGGGAAAAAAGCCTAGGAGGGGATAGAAGAACTGGAAGAGCTCCTTTGGGTCTGGTCTCCCCCAGATATCTCCTGAAGACAGGATGGAGAACTTCCAGACAGTCTGGTGCTTGTGTGTCTGTGCAGTTCAGAGCTGAGCGAGTCACGGCTAGGTCCTCGTAGTCGTATGGTGCTTACAGTTTCTGGGCGCAGAGTGTGGCTTGGGGGGTCCTGCCCCCCCAGACTCACTTGCTGAGGGCTTGCCCCATGCTGTTTGGGTCTGAACAGGGAGCAGAGACCCATGCTTTGTCCCTTGGCCTTCCTTTAAGTTGAAATAGGATTGCAACAGCCAGGGAAATGTCTTGATACAGGAAGTCTGGCCTGGCCAGGCCTGTCTTTGATGGAAAACAGCAAGAGGAGGGAGAGGACCAGCAGAGCAGCTTCAGCCCTTGATGTGAGACAGATTCTGAGCAGCTGTGAAGTACCAAGTGTTTCAGGCTCTGGTGCTCAAATGTGGGAGAGATCCGTCTGCTGCTTGCACTTAGGTGGCGGGGAGGGAAATATCCTTGATGAGAATCCAAGGGAAATGGGAGCTGGGCCAGCACTGAGTTAATTTACCTACTGGCGCTTCTGCATCTCCACAACAAATGCCAAAGTCTAATACAATTCAAGGAAGCTTTTTTTAACATCAGCCTGGTTCCACCAGTCTGTCTTCACTGGCTGGTCCCAAATAGGCTCAGACAGGTATTCTCAACGGCACAAACTCAACAGCAGGCTGGAGCTGTGAAGGCTCAGAAACGTGATTACCTGAATAGGCCTCCTGTGCTGCACCCCTGCTTCGCATGCTGCCCAGCGGGGCTGGGGCACGTGTGGTTCACCTTGGATCCGAATGGATTTGTCCCGGGAGTACAGTAGCAACTGCACTGAAGTGGTGCTGGGCTGGACGGGAGAGGTGAAAGCAGGTCCATGTCTTCCGGGACTCTGGCTTGCTCAGAGTTTATTGCTGCATATTAAATACTATTTTTGGAGATTGGGGGGAAGATGTGGGAGGGGGAGGGATGTGGCAGTGCTGTCCTTGGTTTGATCAGTGGGATACTACTGCAGGTTATTGATAGGCTTTGATTATTTTTTTTTCCAAGAAGTGCTTTATTTAAAAAAAAAAAAAAAAGGAAAAAAAAAATCATAAACGGAATGCTTTCCTCCCTTCTAGAAACAGTGCTGGCTGATTAGAAAATGTGAACAATCTTTTGCAAACCTCAGAGGTCTCTGCTAAAGAGTTTGTGTGATGGAGATTTCAAGGCAAGGGGTACATTGGTACAGCTCAAACCAGTTTAACTGGGGAGAGTGTGAATCTAGGAAATGCAGGATCTCTGCGCTGTGGTTGTTCCCAGTCACACGTGGTGGGGACGTGCTTGCCTGTGCTACCACGGCTGTTCTGTCACACTATAACAGTTCCCGAGCTAGGACACCGGAGTGAAGCAGAGTCTGGAAACTTGCTGGCAAGTTGGAGCTTGAATTTTTTTGTGGTTTCTATGGGGACTTCACGTGTTCAGGGCTTTCCCACTCGAGAAGCAGCCAGGTTGCTAAAGCAGC